CTTCACCTAAACATACACATATGGTGGCCCTAGAAAGGGTGTTGCATTACTTGAAATACACCCCAGGACAAGGCATTCTACTTCAGGCAGAAAAAGGCTTGGAACTTGAAGCATATTATGATGCTAATTGGGGAGGATGTCCCCTAACTAGGCGTTCATGCAGTGGCTACTTCATGTCACTAGGAGGATCACCAGTGTCATGGAAAACAAAAAAGCATAATGTAGTAGCAAGGTCATTAGCTAAAGCTGAATATAAAGCAATGGCAAGTGCAGTTAGTGAGGTTATTTGGTTACGATGGTTACTTAAAGAGTTATGAGCACCACAACAAAAAGCAACCTTGCTTTATTGTGATAATCAAGCTACGTTGCACATAGCCATGAATCCAATCTTTCATTAACCAACTAAGCACGTGGAGATGGATTGCTACTTTGTTAGAGAGAGATATTAGTCAAGAGAAATAATGCCTCATAAGATTTGGACAAGGGAATAGCTAACAGATATTTTAACTAAAGCACTTGGGAAGGATACACTTAAGGAGCTCACAGACAAGTTGGGCATTACAGATTTGCATGCGCCAACTTGAGAGGGAGTGTTAGAGGTTAAGATGCGATTTGATTAGATGCTGATAGAGGCGACCTGATATGTAGGGATATAAAATAATATTATAGAGAGAGAAATGATCGTGTAGTTGAAATATGAGATATGGGCATGCGAAATACATGCGGCATTGCTCCTGTATATATACCTATTATTTTGTGAATGATAACACACATATTTACCATTCCAAATTTCACACCAGTTGTAGAGGAGTAATTTGAGAATTGCTGGATTCACTTATTCCTTGGGCTCGTGTAGGGTGGTTAAAGCGGAGCAATGGGCTCTTTGTAAAGGTCTTCAGCTGGCTAGCAATATGGGCTTCAAAAGAGTCATTTTGGAACCTGATGCATTGGAACTAGTCAACATGCTTCACTCAAATGAAGAGATGATCAACAGAAGTTTACTATTGGTGCAAGTTCACAAACTTATCAATCTTCCTTGGAATCTGGAAGTGAGATTTGTGCATGGAGACAAAAATCAAGTAGCAGATTTCCTAGCCAAAGAAGGTTTAACAAAGACTTCTCTGCTTGATTCTTGCCCCCCTAGGTTGCCTACAGTTTGTGCTATTGAGCCTATGGGATTCAATTCCTATGATGTTTAAGTTCTAGTTTGTTATCTTGGGCCTAGCCCTCATTTGTACCCAAAAAAAAAACAAAAGAAAAAACTTAGGCATCGCATTAATTAGTTGATAGGCACCATACGAGATGGTGTTGACTCAACCGACAAGTTTTTTTTTCCCAATGTTTTTTGGCCAACAAACAAGATTTAATTTGAATCCCCACAATAATTTCATGAAATTAAATGCGACTACCGAATTATTTGCTCTCTTCAATTTAAAATATAAGATAAATTTTATTACAAACGATTTTTTTATAAGATAATATTTACTTTTGTCTAAGTATTTAATAAGTTTTTTTCAATTTTATCCTTTATATATTTTCTTTTTTTAATTCAGTTATTGCATTTTTTTTTACTTATCTCTTCATTAATAAGGACATATTTGGGGGGGGGGGGAATACATGCCTTATATTTTTATTATTTTAAACTAATTTTAACTATTTATTGATAAATGTAAATGAATAAAATTTATCTTATACTTTGAACCGGAGGGAGTATGAATTTTAATAATGGTGGAGTCTAAACTTTCTTCATGTGAGTCACATCTTTGATATTACACATACACTCCTCGGGTCTTATTATAACACACATTTTAGAAAATATGGACGGTTCTTATTGTAGGTAAACTCGATAAGTACAAATTTTAGTGTGAGAAATGACATTTAGTTTCAGCAACTTACTTGTTATTGAGATTTTTTAGTAATTATTTTTTTAAAAAATTCACTGTAATTCTCCCTATTGACGATGAGAGAAGGTAACGTGACACATAAAAAATTTCCTATTTAGATATGAGTAAAATAAAAAATTAATTCTATTTTCAGATAAAGTTAACGACTAGACCACCTTTCTTTGGTTTTGATGATGTGGTTAATTAGAAATGCCTTAGTTATGCACGCTTTTGGTTCTATGTATAAGTCCTCTGTTTAAATTATTATCATGAATGCATTATTTTGTTTTTTATTTATTTTATAGTGTAGACAATTTTTTTTAAGTTGTATATATTAAATAAAAGTAAACCTAAAAACTTACTACTATATTTTTTTTGGACTGAATACTATTATATTTTAATTGAGAGTTAATATAGTTTAAAATTTTTATTGATTTATATGAAACATGCTAAAAATCCCTTATAAATAGGACCAGAGAAATATAATATAATATATACGTGAGGAAGTGTGTGTATTTATATAGATATCTATGATCCGTTCAATTAATAAAATAAATATATAACGCTGCGCACAAATCTAAACATTATAAAATAAATAAATAATAAAACAAGTTGTTGTCAAAAAGAAAAAAAAAACAAGTTATATGCATGGATAAAATATATATCTACTACTTATAAGTAAAATATATGAAGTTACAAACATCTGTGAGACCCTTCTTTTGTCCCACATAAAAGTCTAAAATGGTCATATTTTACTTCCAAATTTTGATGTGACGTGAATGGATGGATGCAAAGCAGGATCAATGAGTGCGTATAAAGACGTATTATATTGTGTATGTAATATGGGCATAATTATGATCTCCATCAGCAGTGCATTATAGAGTTTGATTAATGCCAAGAGTTGGGGCCTTGTAACGTAATGACACCAAATGCTTTACTAAAGTTTTCATTAGGCGTGAGGTTATAAATTCGAATCCTCTCTGAAGAATATAGTGGGGATGTGTGATTTATGGCCCAAAAAAAATTGCTAAGAGTAATTAATGATAACTACGTGATGTTAATTATGATTAGTGTCGTAATTGTATTACAGTCTGCCTCGAGATCATATATTTCTTATATTTTGCGAAGTAGTAAAAGTTTCAAACGCATTACCATATTGGTGCTAAAGAGATCGATGTTGGACAATATTCTCAAGGTCTAGGGATATATATCTTGTTGCCAACAGAAATAAGAGGACCCATTTGAAGATCAGGATTAGCAAATTAAAGGACCTGTTTCTTATATGCCATGTCTGGTAGGATATGAAAAGGGAAAGGGGGAGAGGATTCCATGCAAAGGTGAATTTTTGGATAAAAATGTGTTTGACAAATAGGAGGAATATGAAGCAATTAAGAAAGGAAAATAATTAGTCAAAGTGACATGGTATGTGGTTGGAGTAAAGTTTGTAAACTTGGTCTTGGGCTAGAATTCATTTTACAAACTTTATTTTGGTTGAATTTGAGTTTACTCTGGAATAATCATGTTTGAATCACCACCTTTCCAGTTTTTAATATAAGAGCTAGTTATGAGTTAAATTTGATCCAAGTTTATTATTTTTCTTCAAAGTCTCTGTTGATTGTAATAATAGTTTCATACCAAGAAGTAGTTCTAATGCACATGATTAAAAAAAATAGTTTACAGAAGCCAACATATATTTATTTTAAATAACCAACTTAACTGGTTTCATTAATATTCTCAAATTAATTATCTAACTTTTATATTAATAAGCAAGGATAGTAACGTTTATACCTCAGTAGTGCCATCAACAAAAATCAATATATATATAAAGTTTAGATAATTTATTCAAAAGCACCCAGACATGTAATAACTAAAAAGAGCATGAAATACATAATATAATGTTAAATGGCTAGTTATGTTACATACAATATATGTTTTGATCTATTTAATAAATATAATTATAACTATGTACATAAGCTAAGTATACATAAAAACAAAGATTAAAAATATAAAAAAAATCCATATTAAAGGAATTATTCAACTTGATTTTGGGTCCTTTACGGAGGGAAACTCCACAGTTAGCACGATACGTGGATTCTTCTCCGTCTATACCTTTGTTTTCAGCAAAAGCTATCCAAAAGGATTGTAGCTGGAGCTAATAACCCTGATAAAATTTCTAGTACGCTTATCTTTATCAAATATTTTAAATCGATTTTCGAGTTAATAGGGAGTATTAATTCCTTGGTTACATAAATAATATATAATGTATGCCAAACATAATCTTTCATCCATACTAATTACTAATCTAGCTTTATTTATAAGTTACTTCTAATATGTTTCGCAATTATCATATGAACTAAGAAAAATATTAAACTTTATTAACTCTGCATTAAAATTCAACAAATTTCTAAATTTATCCCTATCTAATATATACTATACAATATGAAAATAAAATTAATATAATAATAAATTAAGGATAAAACTATACACTCATATAAAAAAAAAAAAAAAGTCCTCTTGCTCTCTACCTTATAAATAGGACTAAGAAATTCCTTCTTCCTTTGTCCTCCGTCCTGTAAATATAACAAGAGAAGTAAACATTGATATCATGGGATGGAATTTTCAAAATTTCATTTTAGGGTTTTAGAAAATCCTATACCTGTGTGTAACTCAAAGTTGATAGAGGAATTTTGCATTTATCATGTTTTCCTATCCAGGTAAGATATTTGTAGTTTATATATGGTGACTTCAAAACTCGAACAGAAGTTGATGGATACATTTGGGTTAAAACTTCTGATTGACATATGATATAAGATAAATACTCCCTCTTACTGTAAATGTAAAACCCTTTTTTTAGTATAAATTACACTATAAAATAGGTCTTACATTTAATATTAGAGGAGAACAAAGGAGATGAAGAAAACATACGTAGACATAACACTTAAAACATCAACACATATATATAACTGCTTGATCACTTTTTATCAATCCAATACATAACCAACAACTCACATAATATGAAATTCAGCTAACAATATCCAAATACAAGCACCTCAAACTCCAACACCAACTCAAATATTAGCAAATAAATGCCAGTAATAATAAAGAACAGCAGAGTATTTAAGGGACAAAAGAAGCAAACTGGAGCAAGAGAGGATTGTTTTGAAATTGGAGCATATGACGCTCATTCAGGGTGACCCAAGCCTCAATTCCTCCATCCTCAGAACTCGTTGGCATAAAAAGGATTGCGTTTCTTATAGGCGCTCTAACAGTACAAACCCAAGTTGGCTTGCCCCATCCAAAGTTTGTTTCATAGAAACCAAATCTCACCCAGCTACTGAAGCAGTAACAAGGAACACTTTGCTTGGCCGCTACATGCAACTTTTGTTTCATTGATTCAAGGATTTCAACAAGTTCTTGACCATCTCCTTGAAGTTTACTCACAAAATTCCCATCAACCATCCTTATGGTTTTTCTCACTACTTCTACCAAATCTTGTAGCTCCACCGTTGTTTCTTTGTCAACCTCAAACAATGGAGAAATTGCAGATACAAAGAGATTACCTATATTACAAAAAGATTGCCTAGATTTTGTCAATTGACACCTCAAATTAAATAAGTGAATGGAAACGTTCATATAATTCAACAACTAAGCGAAGTATGCTAATCTCACCTAGAGAATTCTCCAGCAATGGCGGTAGCATCCGACCACGTATATTAACAATATGTAACATGAATGAACCACTTTTGTGACTTGTTTCTATGGTTTTTGCAGCTTCCAAGGCTGATTTCCATATCAAAGTTGTTACAGCTTCAACTCTAGTGGGCTTAAAGCCCCAACCTCTTGAAATTTCTTCTTTCAATCTGCATAAGCTATTTTCACTAAACAAGAATCTTTTCGTCGTAATGTTCTTCTCACCTATCATGTTATTGAAGTCAATCTCTATGCCTTTCGGTGGAAAAAGCAATGATGCTTCCATATTAAGAGACAGAGAAGAAGATGCCACTTCACTTCCTTCTCCCATTGCCTTTTGAGACCAAGCTTGGAGGAATGTAGCCACTGTTGTCCCGTCACAAACCTTATGTGAGATGCACACACCAATTGCCATACCTCCACAGCCAAACTCAGTAACTTGAACAGCCATTATTAGACGATCTTCATCATCATCGTCTAGTTTAGGCTTATAGGGATCTATTGGAAGAAACTCTATAATCTCATTGAGTTGTTGGCTGGTATTATTGTTGAGAAAATCTGATAGCTTTGAGGGTACTCTGGCTTCAAGGTAAAGGACACCCTCATCATTACAATCAACAATGTAATTGCTTTTGTTTCGTTTGATTCTTCCACAGAATGGATAGTAGCTAGTGAGAATTTGAGATAGCGAAGACTTCAACTTTTGAGACATTGCGGGAAAATCCTGATTAGAAGCAGAATAGAAGAGAACAACGGGAACATAAAAAGAAGGAGGAGCAGCTATCTCATCAAGGAGAGAAATTTGGAAATTTTTGAGGTGATTTGGAGTTGGGGATACCGGCTTTATTGTGACTTTGGATATAATCTCAACCTGAGCTTCTGCCATATTTCTCAGACGATTTGAGAAAAGATTGGGTTTAGTAGAATTGCAAGAAGGTTGATGAGGTTTGGTTTATTTTCTTGAGACACAGATTGAGGAGCTTTAAATAATACAGAAAATTTCAAAGCTTGGTAAGCTACGAGCCTGTGAAGTCATGCGCAGCATTTATTTTCGACTCGTAGCCCTCCCCCATCTACTTTTATGTGTACATGTGAAAAATCATCAACACAATATTTGATTGATCTTAATCTCTTTTGTCTCGTGATTTTATCATTTTTCCCAACTATCTTATTGATTACATGAAGTGGGGTAATTTCCAACATAAATGATTAAAATGAGAGGTACTCCCTGCCTGATCTGATTATAAATTTCAAATAACTAATTTGTGGATAAAAAAATTAGTTAAAGGTAATAAATAAATAATTAGAAATATACTTTTGTTTTTACATATCCCTCTGTAATAAATGAGAAAAAAATAAAAGAGAATGAATAGGAAAATATGATGAGAGGGAGTAAGATAAAGGAGAAACAATAAATAATTAAGGATAGAATTGAAAAAAAAGAGTAAAGATTAAAACAACCTAAATTGAAGTTTATAAAATACACCACACTCCTCAAATTTAAAGCTTATAAATAGGATTGAACGAAGTATTTTAAGAAATACACCATATTTTTTTTTACCAATAATAAACTTAACTTCCTTAATCCCTGTGAAGTGCTCCCTCCAGTCCTTTGTATAAAATTTTTCATACAAAAGTTGGATCGTTTTGTGTTTCTTTTATCAAAAAATTCCAACATTACAATTATACCCCCATTAATTAAAGGAAGGCCCCATAATGCCTTCTTAATTGACAGGAAATCTATTGAAATTACGGGGATAAAAATAAAACATCATTTGCTTTTTTTAACTAGGCACCTTATAATTTAGATTAGCCCTTATTTTTGGAAGGCATTTCATATAAGCGATAGGAACGACTAGTTATCTACTCCCTCTTGTCTTTATTATAATAACCTGCTAACTAATTCGTACATATCAATAAAATTCGTTAAAAATATTAAATTTGTCATCAAATTCAAGTGAATTTTAATATTGCCCTCATTAATTATACTAAATTCCAATATCATGTTAATTTTTGTTCCCTCAATACCCTTGTTAAATATGGGCATATACTGGGAAAAAAAGGTATTTAATACTCATTGAAATTATCAAAGAGTTTTATGGGAAAAAAATACTAGAATAACTCTCATAATAAGGATCAGAGGGAGTAGCTTTTATATTTAAGTCTAAAAAGAGTAGTACAAACCCATGTTAAACTAAATCTAACCTAGCTACTGAAGTTATAGCAATTAAGGAATATGATTTATAAGTTCTTGACCATCTTACTCGTATAATTAATCTAATCTCCATCAACTTATAAGTTGTATAAAATAACGAAGTTACCAATATGGAAGCCTTGTGTGTTATATTGTAAGAAAATGATTACCGGCTGTATAAGAAACTAATCCTATTGTTATTTTGAGGAAAAACATCCTTTTCTAATAATCTAATTAAGAAAACAAAATCAACATTGTCATCTAAAGAATTCTACAGCAGCAGCGGCCGCATCTGGCCACGCAATATGCATGTTCCCACCAGTACATCTTATTTTTCAACTTGCACTTTAGTATAGGAGAAAATTGTAATGAGGTCTCAAATAAGAAACGTAACTATTAAAAGGCCCCAATGACAAGTGAACATAATTATTTCTTTAGGATTTGTCATTACATGCTGTTTTGTTGTCATTGAAATTTTTTAGTAATTATATTTCTTATTTAGGACCCCATTATAATTCTCTCTTAATGTGTATGGGCTTCTCTAATATTTAAATATCCATCTATATGAGTAAATGTTGCAACTTGCAGATTAAAATCATATTTTAATGTTATTTATTCAATAATAAGATCCATAAGTCCATAACCTCTATTTTTTAATGAAAAAAAAATTCAATAGCTCAGAATCATCTCAATTTAAGCCTGTCACACACAAGTGGCTCTTGTTTTCTTTCTTTTTTTAAAATGAGCAACGGGGCAAAACGCTTAAATCATTCATTCACCATTGAAACAAATCTAGAGCTAGCATAGCCCTGCAAATCTCTACACAGCAGCATATTCAATCCCTCAGGAGATCATTCAAAAGCTGAAAACCAATGCTCTGTGACAGGCTGAAAACCAATGCTCTGTGACAGGCTTCATCAATTTGCAATCCAGTCTGCGCAATAATTTCCCTCTCTATAAATGTATTGAACACGTATACCCCAACTCTTATTGACCAGCCTTGAGATTTGGGCAATGAATCTGATATCAATCTTCCTATTCACAGTCCAATCATTCAATAAGGACACAGGAACAAGAGAATCCGATTCCATAATAACTCTTCGAATCCCTTTTTCATGCAAAAGACAGAAAGCTGACCACGCAGCCCAGAGCTCAGCGTCAATCTTGTTTTTTTCCGCCCCGATTTAATACAATTAAACGTATGCAGGGACATAAACATAATAACACTCCAACTCAAAATCTTATGATGTAAATGTTATGTGTGTAGGTGTATCAAAGGAAAAATCTTACATTGTTTGAAATTCCGAAGATCCAAGTAATAAGTAATTTTGAGCTACTAAATAAATCAAGAAGATAAGTGAGCTCGTACGCACGACAGGTCATCTGAGACGAATCTGATAATTTTTCCTTACCTCTTATATACTAGTCAAATGCAGTGTTAGGCACTTTTATAAAAAAAATATTTGTCTAATTAATTCGTTACTTTAATCACCATTATACCTCGTTAATATTTGTAACCGATGTCTTTAATAATTTTAAATCCTCATTAAGTGAGTTATAATTTTGCAACTGACATTTAATTGTGTTTAAATACTCAATATTCTCTTGTGATTCATGACCTATAAATGGGGTATGAGACCCAAGTTCAACAAACTTCCAAACTCTGAGCTTTTGGACAACTTTCTTTGTTTTTTCATCTGTCATTGTTCTGCGCATCTTATTTTTATAGGAAGAATCTGTTTGGTAGCAAGGAGCATCACTTATTGTTTTGCCGCTATAAATGATACTCCCTCCGTTCCTTATTATAAGAGACAAATAACCGAAGTACGTTGATCAAAAAAACAGTTAAAATTAGTTGAGAACAATTAATGTGTAAAAAGTATAATTTTTTTCCAAAAATACCCTCATTAATAAGGAGAGAGAGCATGAGAGAGAACAATTAAATTATTAAAAGAAAGAGAAATGGGAGGGAGAGAGAGTGTGAGTTGGAGATAATAAATATGGGTAAAATAGTAAATCAACACAAAAAAGTAGAGACAACTTGTAAGTGTCTCTTATATATAGAAACATGCCATAAGTATCAAATGTCTCTTATAATAAGGAACGGAGGGAGTAATATTCATAAGGGACGACTTGAATTTACTATTCTCTACCAGTGTTGTCGTTAGCAAGATTTGGCTAGTGTTATAGGGTTAGAAAATTTTGCTAAATTTCTGGAGAATTTTGGTGCCGACCCGCCATCGTCTCATCTAGAAATGACAAATGACATTAATGCTGATAGTCACTGTCAATCCGTTGGCTGTCAAATTAAAGAAGTGCCGTCGGCTTCAAAAAATCTTTTGATCAGATCGTAGTGAGTCGACACGTACCCACAAATTCAACTGATTGTCGTTTGGGTTCACCAGCTCGTCCGACGAGTGGGTGTTTAAATTAGTTTTTTTAAAAAAATTTTATTATATATTAAATAAATATATGAGAATAAATTTATCTCGATTTTGACTTGTATAAAAATATTTTTTTTTAAAAATGTCATCCTAAAAATGTGATGAGGGTTATACACTCTCCATTCCATCCACAACAGATGTACTTCTCTAGTCCAACTTTGGTGCTCATCTCTAAAAATGTCTTCATTGGGGAAGATTATAAGTGTTGTCTGAATTCTAAAAAAATGACAAGCATTTCCTCCATCTATTTTTATCAAAAATAACTACTAAAATTAATGATGCGATTCAAAATGTTAGTTAAATGTAATTAATTGAAAACAAGAAATATATAAGATATATACATATTTTTTTAAATTATATCCAAAGAGAGTACATCCAGAGAAATAATAAGTGGTGTATATTTAATGGGGAAAAAGTGAAAAAAAAACTAGTTTAAAATTTCAGAAATTTTTTTTTTTAAACATTTAGCAACATTGCCATGAGAAATTGTTTCTTATAAAAAGGATGGATTGAGTAATATTTGTGTTTTAAAATCATGTAATAAGCCTAACGGAATGATAAATTCTGGAGTTAAGTTTCTATTTAAGCTGCATGTAGCATCCTAAAGTACTCCTCCTGTCCTTAATATAGGACCAAATTCTTGAGTTGGTTTTGTCCCAAATATAACATCCATTTCTCATATTTATCAATTTTATCTAAATTACTCCTATGGATATTCCCTCAACCAAAATCAAGTAGAAAAGAAAGAGGGGTATTAAGAAAGATGATTATGGTGTTTTCGGAAAAATGTATCACTTTTCTTATAATTAACTAACTTACCTAACTTCCTTAATCTAATCAAATTAGTTAAATGGGTTTTATATTAAGGATCGGGGAGTATAACTTTTAGATGTATTTAATATTCTAAATTAATTTTTGCTATATCGAATGTTTGAAAATATTTTTTTCAATGATACTCAATATCCTTTGTAATTTTTTGTGTCTCCAGCATGCTAAATTATTTTTTAAATAGCACCCAGTATCCTAAATATCGGTGCTCATTTCTATATATTGAGAAAATACTTTGAGAGCAAAATTTATGATATTGACTTCATATTTAACAATTTTTATTCAATTTTGCTCATCAAGTATTTTCTTATAGTAAGTATGAGCACTTTATATTTAAGACACTAAGTGCTAATTAAAAAAAATAATTTAGTGTGCTAAATACCCCAAAAGTTACTGAGGAAAATGAGCACCATTGAAAAAATGATTTCAGAAGTTAGAAGTAGCAAAAAATTAATTTAGAATACTCAGTTTTACTACCTATAGTCTTTAATATAAAATCTCATTTAAATTTTATTTTATTCCTAAATATAAGATTTCAATCTATTTTGTGTCTCATATTTGTATATTTTTTTTAGTGTAATTCTTCTAATAATAGTAGTTCTAACCAATACATTTAATTAGCAAAGATATTTTGAAAAAAACAACACATATTTATTACAAATAACTAATTTAACTTATTTTTTAATCTTTTTAAATTAGTTAACTAGTTCTTATATTTAGGACAGGAAGTAATACTACTAAAAAGTATATTTTATGCTAAATACAACTCTACTCTAGAATTTAGCTTAAGTTGGTAGCCATTGTGGGTTGTAGCCGAGGTTGCTCGGCATTGCCAAGTGATTGAAGGACCCAAGTGGATGAAGCCGCAGCCCATGGGCTGCATGGAACCGATCAAGAAGATGATTCAGTGCTTGATTGGAAATGGCACACTGATCGAGTTTCTGTCAAATGTGTTTTTGTCTCATACACAGAATTCCTTTTTCTGGCTAAAATATGCTCTTTCTTTCTAGTCTATAATTTAAGACCTTTCATAAAATTAAAATTTAAGTGGTTCCCAATATTATTCTTGTTCGTTGTACTAAATTCTTCTATCATACTCATCTGACCATATTTATAATATAAAGAGAATATATTTTTTTTATCTTACTTATAAGTTATTTTATTAAATTTTTATCATAAATGTATCATTTTGTCCTTCATTTATTATAGTGTAGATAATTTTTTTGGAAAGGGATATATATACATTAAATAGGGGTAAAGTTAAAAGTCATTATATTTTAATAGAGAGTTAATATAGTTTGAGGTTTTTCTTAGTTTATGTAAAATATGTTGAAAGTGCTTTATAAATAGGACCAAAAGTATTAATTTCTACTCTCTTACTATCCTTATTGAATATGGGCATATTTAAAAAAATTTAATACTTACTAAAAGGGAAAATTGGTAAAAAAAAAAAAATCCTTGTTTAAAAATTTAATTGGCTAAAAAAACTTGAATTTGAATACATGTAAGAATGATTCGTGAGCGTAACATATCTTCCGCTGTGTGGGTGGAAATAGGCCAAAAACCCTGTCAGGGGCCTGTGGCCTGGCCTGTAAATGACCTGGCCTATTTAAATATCAGAACAGGCTTAGGCCTTTAAAAATGCATGTTTACTTTATCAGGCCAGGCTCAAGCTTGATAATAAGCCTATTAGGCCTTTCAGGCAGCCTGAGCCTGTTATCTTTTTTTTTTTTTAGGTTAGAATTATAAATGGGCTTGGTTTACTTATAATTAGTTATTAGTCTGGACCAATAAGATTTTGATCCAAGCAGGCTAGCGCCCTTTTGCCTCTTATATTTTTGGTATGCACGCACTTATATTTTATACATACAGAATAGTCTCGGTTTGTTCTCAGGTCCCCATTCTTTTACGAGCCCTTTTTTTTATTGTTCTTTTGGCTATTTGGCTATCGACGTATATATTACGTAAAGACATTAAACCTCCTCCCATAGTACTCTCAAGGTATTGTCGCGCCCTACCCATATATTTATTTTAATAATTTGTTATGGAAAAATATGAATAAAAATTAGGGAGGAAATAGCCATGTAGATTTTGTAGAAAAAGGAGCACTCATATTGAAAGATTTAATGCTTTACGGTTTGATGGTTTTTTGTAATTGTAGCAACTAGCAAAAACAAATTGCGTTAATTTGATAATTTCATATTTTCTGTTAGTATTTTAGATAAATTTGGTTGATTATTGTAATTTTGAATTGATTTATGTTTAAAATTTGTTATAAAAAAAAAAGGCCTTTTAATAGGCCAAAGGCCAGACCAGGCTTGACTACAGCTCAAGCTCAGGCCAAACAAAAGGCCTTTCACAGGCTGTAAGCCAGGCTCATGCTGATAGGTCTCACCACAAGCCAGGCCTATTAAGGGTGAGGCCTAGTGACCTGGCCTGTTTTCACCCCTATTTGTAAGTGACTTCTATATTGATGATTGTTACACATCATTGATGATATATTGCACATAGCAGAAGATAAGTTGCATTCACAGAACATAGTTGTGCTCACTCAAATTCATATTCTTTTAGCCAGTTAAATTTTCAAACAAGAATTTTTTTCCCAATTTTTTCTTATTAAAACTATCAAAACATCTTGTAAAATGAACTAAAAATTCCTTATAAGACTTGTTATAAAATAGATAAGGAGGAATATGTTTTGTCCTCTAAATTTACGTTAACTTTCAGTTTAGTCTTTTAATTCGTTCTCACCGACAATATTTGAATTCAATCAATTCACTTGGCAGCAAAAAAATAATAAATTAATTTATTTATATTCAATATAAATATTTTGAATTTTAGCTTTTTCTGTAATTATTTTGATAAAACCCATATATCCCATAACTTTGTCATGTTATTTTATGTCTCAAATAACCCTTTTTCCTTATAGAAAGAAAAATTATAAATGGGAAAAGAACAAACAAAGGCATGATGAGATCTCCGTCTCACTGAATATATCCAATATTTCTCATGTTTTTCTATTAGGGAAGGTCTTTTTCACTCCTAAATGTAAGGCTTATTTTATCATGTAAATTATATTACAAAATGAATATTATATTACGGAGGAGTATATATAATTTTAGCTGATTACAAAATACAGTCAAAAGTTGATGGAGGGTTTTGAGAACAAACTTTTGACGGATATATAAAAGGTCAATAATAAAGGAGATAAAACTCCAACACACATAGTACAGTAGATAACATTTAAACTACAGCGTACTTATATACGAATGACTTGATCACTTCTTATCAATAGTCCAAAACATATTTAACCAACAACGTAACTCAGAAATTCAGCTAACATTACTCAAACACACACACACACACACACACACACTTTTCACACTCCAACATGACTTAATTAGCAAATAGATATAAGTATACATAGAAATCAAGGGACTAGTTAAGGACCAAAAGAAGCAAATTGAAGAAGTAGAGGACTGCTTTCAAATTGGGGCATATGAAGCTCATTTAAGGTGCCCCAAGCTTCTATTTCTCCAACCCTAGAAGAAGTAGGCATTAAGATAATCACATTTCTTATAGGCACTCCAATAGTACAAACCCAGGTTGGCTTGCCCCATCCGAAGTTTGATTCATATAAATCAAGCCTCAAGCAGCTACTGAAGGTATAACAAGGAACCCCATTCTCTGTTACCAAACACATCTTTTGTAAATTGGATTCAAGGGTTTCAAAGACTTCCTGACCATATTGTTGAAGCATATTTAGAAAATCCCCATCAACCATTTTTATGGTTTTTCTCACTACTTCAACCAAGTCGTGTAGCTCCACCTTCATTTCTTGGTCAACTTCATGTAATGGAGAAAAGGTAGGTATAAAGAGATTACCTGTATTTTGATAGTGAAAAAGTTCAAATTAAGAAAACCATTAAAATAATTTATAACTACATAAATAAGTGAAGCATGTTATTGTCACCTAAAGAATTCTCTAGCAATGGCGGCAACATTCAGCTTCGTATGTTCACAGCATGTAACATGAATGAACTACTACTTTTCTAAGTTGTCTCTATGGTTCTTACAGCTTCCAAGGCTGATTTTCATATCAAAGTTGTCGCAGCTTCACCTCTAGTGGGCTCAAAGCCACAATCTCTTGAAATTTCTTCTTTCAATCTGCATAAGTTATTTTCACAAAACAAGAATCTCTTTGTTGTAATATTCTTCTCTCATGTATCATGTCATTGAAGCCAATCTCTATGCCCTTGGGCGGAAAAAGCAAAGAAGCTTCCATATTAAGAGGTGAAGAAGAGGCCACTTCACTTCCTTCTCCCATTGCCTTTTGAGACCAAGCTTTGAGGAGTGAAGCTACTGATGTTGCGTCACAAACCTTGTGAGAGATGCACTCACCAATTGCTATACCTCCACAGCCAAACCCAGTAACATGAACAGCCATTACCTGACGATCTTTGTCATCATTGTCTAGTTTAGGCTTATAGGGATCTGATGGAAGAAACCCTTTAATCTAATTGAGTTGTCGGTTGGTATTATCCTTGAGAAAATCTGAGAGCTTCGAGGGTATTCTAGCTTTAAGGTAAAGGACACCCTCATCATTGCAATCAGTGTTGTAATTGCCTTTGTTCCCCTTGATTCTTCCACAGAATGGATAGTAGAGAGTGACAATTTTAGATAATGAAGTTTTCAACTTTTGAGACATTTGGGGAAAATCATGATCAGAGATAGAGTAGAAGAGAGCAATGGGAACATAAACAGAAGGAGGAGGAGCTAGCTCATCAAGGAGAGAAAGTTTGAAGTGTTTAAGGTGATTTGGAGTTGACGTTAATGGCTTTATGGTGGTTTTGGATACTATCTCAACCTTAGCTTCTGCCGTTTCTTAGTCAATGAAAGATCTCTAAGACAATATAAGAAAAGAAATGGGTTCAGTAGAACTGCAAGAAGGTTGATGAGGTTTGGCTGAGTTTCTTGAGACAGGGATTGAGGAGCTTTAAATACAGAAAACTTGAAAGCTTGGTGTGTTGTGAGGGCACGCGTAACATTTTTTTTTTTTTTTCATCGCTCCATCCACTTTTTTCTGCATGTAAAAAAATGATGTGATTTGCCAGTCAACACCGCATTTAATTGGCCTTCTAATTAAGCAATTGGAGAAAATCTCTGTGTGTGTGTGTGGTGCTAAAACAAATTACGGGCACGAACAAAATATCCATGACAACTTGATAAATTCTTGGTCTTCTTAAAGGCAAAAGCATCATCATCATTAGACCAAAAAGCAATTGCAGAAGTGTGGCACAAACACACACACAAGGTATACTACCCGGTGCTTAATATAATTACTAGATAACTAATTTAACAAAATTAAAAAAAATTAGTTAAATTAGTTATTTGTTACAAATATGTATTAGTTTTCCTGAAATATTATGTTCAATCATGCGCATTAAATGATTGGAATTACATCTTAGTCGAAATTCCTTACAATCAATGGGAATATTTTGAAAAAAAAGATAAAAGACAAATTAGATTGAGAAATTACATTGAGGACTAAATTCAACCCCAACTAGTTCTTATATTAAAGACCGAAAATAGTAATTGGACTTATCTTGTTTTTTTTTTCCTGAAAAGAAGTGCCAGTGCATTATAGGGTTATCACCTTCGATCAACACTTTAAAAAAAAACATCAAATTAGCGACGGAATTTAGTGACGGAATTTCCGTCACTAATCAAAATTAGCGACAAATTAGTGACAGAATTCAGTTAACGACGAAATTAGCGACGGAATTTTTTCCGTCACTAATTCCACCATTACTAAATAATTAGTGACGGAATTCAAAATTCAATCGCTAATTAGAGACGGATTACTAACGGATTAGCGATGGAAATTAGTGACGGAAATTTTCCGTCACTAATCTGTCGCTAATTAGTAATGTATATCCCACAAAAATTCTGTCACAAAACAATGATGGTTTGTGACGGAACATTCCGTCACAATTTGGTGACGGAAATTTTCGTCACTAATCCATCGCTAAATTGTTTTATTTTATAAATTTAAAAAATACCACATCATTGCCATGTGTCCATCATTATGAGCCACCACGTCATCAATGGCTGCCACCTCACCAATTCCTCTCTCTCCCCCCCATGTTGCCACGTCATCTCTTCGTCCACGTATCGCCACGTGTCTATCACTAGATGCCACCTCAACTCCTTCTCTCTCCTATGCAGTCACGTCATCGCCTTGTCAACATCATCGCCACATGTCCATCATTATGAGCTGCCACGTCATCGCCACATCACAAATTGGCAATTTGTGAAGAAGTGTTGGTTCGAACCTGTGACCTCCTGCATGCATGCTGAAGCCTTTGCCAGTTGAGCTAAGAAGCACCTGCGAAAGTCTTTTACAAAAATAAATAAATATAATATTTCTAATAACAAATACAAATATATATAGTAAATATTATATACATAATTTAATATATATTATATAATTTAATATATTATTATTTATTTGAATTTAATTTTTAGATTTTATTAAAAATTTCTAAAAATTTATATTTTTATTCAAATATTTAACAAAATAATAAATATATTATATTTTTATTTTTATTTTATTTTATAATATTTGCATTTTTTAATTTTTTATATAATATATTATTTAAAAATTATGATATATTATATTTTTATTTTAATAATAAGTTTAAAAAAAATATTATATATTTATATTATATTTTTTTGTGATGGAAATTAGTGACAGAATTTTTCCATCACAAAATGAGAGTTAGTGACGAATTGGTGACAAAAATTAGTGATGAAATTTTTTCGTCTCTAATTTCCGTTACTAATCATTTAAAACAAAATTAGCGACGGACTTGTGACAGAATTTAGTGACGGAATAAGATTCCGTCACTAATCTGTCTCTAAGTGACAGAATTTTTCTATCACTAAATTCTGTTGCTAATTTTAGTGACGGAATTTGTGAGGGATTAGCGATGGATTAGTGACGGAATAAAATTCCGTCGCTAAATTCTGTCACTAATGTCCTGTTTTTTGGTAGTGCAATGGCACACATTGTAACGTTTGATTTTTGGAACTTGATTTTCAGTTCGGAAACAAAAGTTGAAAGGCCTACTTGTATGGGAAGTTAATGTTGATACAGACATTTCGCATTTATTTTGTTTTCCTTTTTGGGTAAGATAATGTAGTTATAAGGTGACGTAACTAGAGATGGAGGGGAGATCTTCTGAAGGATATGGATAACAGAAGAAGAAGATGATGATGATGAAGAAGTAAAAACAAAAGAGCTAAAAGGGTTAGATAAAACTTACTGTAACACACATATATAATCACTTAATAATTTCTTTATGAATCCAATACTTAACCAACACCTCACATGTGATAATGAAATACAGCTAACAATATCCAAACACATATACTTCACACACCCTAACACCAACTTACTTAGCAAATAGATGCAAGCAATGGAATAGCGGTAGGAAAATAGGTTGTGGATAAGATTAATTTATAATTATGATTCTGATAATAGATTTAGCTATAATTGATTTATAAGATTGATTTTTTTGGATATAATTGAAAAGCTAAAGTAAACCATGTTTTTTTTAAAAAAAAATCCAAACACTTTTTTTAACTAATTTCCTTAATCGAATTATTCTCTCTGGTCCTTTATATAAGTATTTTTCGCACAGATTGAGAAAAATTGTTAAATTACCTTATTTTTTTTCCCCCAAAAACATCCCAATATGCCACTTATAACCCTATTTAGACCTCATAATGCCTGTCATAAGAAAGCTATTAAAATTATAGGAGTAAAAATGGAATATTATTTGATTTTTTAAGCTAAGCACTTCATAATTTGGACTAGGTTTTATTTTTGAAAGACACATTATATTGCAGTCTAAAACAAGGGCCTTTTTAGAACTCACTTTGAGAACCAGTCTAAAAAGTTTTTCCCCCCTACACCAGTTCTATGTGCAATCAAAAAATGCCTGACTTTTTAAGCTGCTCTTATTTAGACCGGTATCAAGTGAGGTCTAAAGGATTGGTTTTAACTGGTCTGAAAAGTCTTTTTTGCACTAGTTATTTGAAGGAGTAGTTATCTCCTTGAAACCTAATTACTCATATAATCTCCGTCGACTTTTCTTATGATTTTTCTCACTGGTTCTACCAAATCTTGTGGCTCTACCTTTACAACTTCAAGCAATAGAGAAATTGCAGGTAGGAAGAGGTTTCCAATGTTTGACAAGAGAGAACCAATTTATAACGTAACACAATTTGGAGTTAAAGTAGAATGATAAAATATGAATAAACCAACATAGTGCATATATCTGCACAATATTTTTTTGCAGGCACAGGTATCCTTTGAAAGTAATTCTATTTGAGATATTATTAGGTACTAAATGTAGATACCTCTCCCAATAGGGATTCAAACTTTGGTTCACTATATTATGGGAGACTAACCCATTCCGCTAAACCCAATTCTTGAAGATGAATCTGCTATTTGGGTTCTCTCTTACCTTATAGATTAGAGAGTCAATATGGTAGTTAATTATTATTTCCTCAACCAAAATAACCAAACGAGAATTATTACAAGAAATGTAGGGTTTTGAAAAATGGACTTTGTCATTGCAAAAAATTCAAGAGTTTTATACAAGTCCTTCCATGGCAACTCCATGACAACTAATGAAGTTACCAATACAGAACTCTTATGTGTTAGACTTTATTTTTTATTTTTTTACCTATCCTAACCCTCCCCATAAGAGGGACTCACTCATACACCCAGACACAATACGCGCACATACTTTCCCTTTAACCACATGGGGATTGATCCCATAACATTTTCAACAAGAGGAGGGTGGTGATGCCATTTGAACCAAGACTTATTCGCTCTTTCGTGTTATACATAAAGAACATTATTGCCAGGTATAAAAAAAACCGGGGGAGAATTTCATTTAGCCCCTTTGTAGGGACTTCATTTCTAATTGCCTCCATATAATTCTGCAATTTCAATGCACCCTTTTGAGAGTAAAGTGAATTTAATTTCTAGAGTGAAAAGACAATAACAAACTTGCAGGGAGAGAGACAAGAAAAGTGAATTTACAAGTGAAATACATGAATTTACAAGATAAGGGAATTCATTAGAGGAAAAGGGACCTTTATAACTGGAATAAGGCTATTTGCAAGTGAAGCAAGTATTCGCAATAATAATGGGGTATGGAGTAATGATTAATTAGGATTTTTGATATTTCAAATATTTATCATTATTCGGAATATTTAGTTTTAATTTTGATTGATTGTTATATTTTACCATGAATTATATCATTTTCATTTAATTCTAGGATTTCTAGAATATTATGCATATTTAATTTATAGGTTTATATTGAGGCCTATAAATAGCATCTCGACTCATTTGCTTTACACCCTTTTTGA